AATGACCATCCCTTTGCTGCTCTAGGTTACTGTGAACGTCCTGGAAGAAAATGATGAAAAGCCAATTTGTACCCCCAACTCTCATTTCATGGCCATCCCAGTGGATCTGAAAGTTGGGACAAATATTCAGAATTTCAAGCTGACGTGTACTGACCTTGACTCCGGCCCCAGATCTTTCCGTTATTCCATTGGCTCAGGTACAGTACTGAGGACAACAGCCTTGGGCCCTGTCTCTGAGGACCCCTGCCCTTGTCGAGGGAGGATGTGCTGAGTGTGGTCTGAGCTCACACACTGATGTGGGCACAGCAGGGGTGAGTTGGGGGATGTGTGGATGAGGAAAGCAGAGGTGAGGGGTCTGATGCCCGATTCCTCTTGCCTTCCCCTTCTCACCTGACTTTTCCCAGAGCCTCATACATGGCTGCCTGAGGGTGCAGGAAAGGGTAAATCTTACAGATAGTGAACCCACCCCCCACTGCCAAAAAAAGTCCTGATTGTAAGTCATAGGTCAAATTAGTGTGAATGAAAAAAATTTAGTCCAACTTTTCAACTTCCTCTTTTACTGAAAGCTTGTAGTGGGGGCAGGGAATCCCAGTCCTCTCTCTGGATAATAATAGATTAAATAGATTAAATGCATTTTGAAATGTGTCCTCAGGAATTCTCTTCTGCTCCATTCATTTTCTCTTTTTAAAAATATACCATTGTGGGGGAAAAAAGAGCACCCCTCAATGGAAATTAGACCAAAATAGCTCATCTAATGAAGTGCTGAGGCCAGAGATTTAAACCCAAACAAGCAGAACAATTCCACGTGAAAGAGTAAAAATCCATCTCTGCTGCCTGCTGAGCTCTTGGCAGAGCAGGAACTTGAACAGTAGGGAGCCTCTTGAGCTGGCTGTGTCACAAAACCCAGGGGCAGAAACTGCCTGGAGACCTTACTTGCTGAAGATGGAAATAATCCATACTGAGAACCCTAAGGCCTTTATGGAGCACTTAGCTGCTAAGGGAGCAAAAATTGCACCATCCCCTGCTCCACTTACTGGGGTTCAGTCGGTAATGAGTCTGGAGCCAGTGGAGGAATGAATGCAGGCATGGGCTGGTGGCCTTTCTGCCCCGGCTCCCAGAGCTGAGCGGTGAGCCCCAACAGAGCTGACAGAGCCAGGTGTGAGTTCAGGGTGTGATGGGGAGGGTCCCGAAGGACCTGGGGCTACAATCTCTGCAAAGCCAAGAGGCAGCCTCCTTTGGGGGACTCTCGGGACATCTGTAACCAGTGTGACCTCCATGAAAGACAGGTAAACGATGGATGTGACCTTTCTACCCTCTTACTGCGCACTCCTCTATGTGTGGATTGTACATGTTGTTAGCAAATAAATGCCAGCTGATAAACTGGAAGGGGCTGCACCGGGTTATGAAGTCTCTGCCTGAAGCTCTGCGGGAGCTGATTGTAAGCAAGACCATCTTTGCATTAGTGAAATCTGCGATGCAGTTAAGGCATGCAGCATATCATGAATTCAGCTCGGGTGCCTCAGAAACATAGTTTGCACCTGAATAGCGGACGTTTCAGAAAAAGACCAAATGTTGTTTTCTTTTAAACCTTTTTTCTCCTTCTTTTCTTCCTTTTGCCAACCTTCTTGCATCCAACCTCATTTAGGCAACGTCAATGGCCATTTCACCTTGTCTCCTGATGCTGGGTCCAACGTGACACGCCTGCTGCTTGCATCCTGCTTTGACTATGCTGGTGGGCTTGATAAGATCTGGGACTACAAACTACTCATCTATATCACTGATGACAACTTGCTGTCCAGCAGGAAGAAAGCAGAAGCTCTTGTTGAAACAGGGACAGTGACACTGAGTATTAAAGTCATTCCCCACCCACCTACAATCATCACCACGACCCCCAGGGTAAGGACTTTAGGATCTGGAATCCCAGCCATGGTCCCTTGGGATTTATGTCCCCAGAGCCCTTTGTCCCAGGAGAAATACAGGATGGACTGAAAAGAGCTGGGTTATTAGGATGTTGCCAAGAATAGTAACCACAGGCTGGATTGGTGTGGCCAGTAGTGGGAAAGGTCAGGGTGCGTCCGTGGATTTGTAACCTGGTAAAGCAGAGTGTGGATCTGTGCTGGGAGACCTCGGGCACTAACCACCTATGCTACTTGTGGCACAGGAGCCAATTTTCATGGCCATGTGGCCATTTTCTCCTTTCATAGCCCCTCTCTGCGTGGTCACAGGAGCCACTGCAAGTCAGTGTCCCTGAATTCAAGGAGCCAGCTGCCAGATGCGCTTTCCACCTCTTCTGAAGTCACCATGTACTGATGTGTAACCTACTCCCCACTTTCACTCCAAAAAATTTAATCCAATCTGTAAATACTGATTTAATGCCTGTAATGGGCCAATGACTTTAGTGAATATACCCCAAATTATCCCTGCTCTCAGGGAGCTCATAGGTCAGTGGTTCTCAAAGCAGAGTCCTCGGGCCACCAGCATCAGCATCACCTGGAAATTTGTTAGCCAAGCACATTCTTGGTCCCAACCCTAGGTTATTAAAGTTGTACCTTACCCAGCCGTAGTCATCACCATGACCTCTAGGGTCTGGAATCCCCAACTCCATCCCCTGACCCACTAGATGAGAAACTCCAGATGTGGGGCCCGGCAGCCTGTGTTTTTGATCAGCCTTCCAGGGAATTGTAAAGTTTGAGAGTCACTGATGTGGAGGAGCGTTTTCAGATTATTACAAAGTACACAAACTAATGAGATAAACACAGATTGTGGTCAGTGGCAGGAAGATAACCACCAGGTGCTGTAACAGCATCAGTCTGGGGAAGGAAGGGAGAACCTAGGAGTCTGGCAACAGGATCATCTTCCTGCCCCCCTGGAGGAACTAGCTTCCTAGTAAAAGCTACAGCCCTGGTCAGTAACCTTATACTTGTAGCATGCCAGAAGAAAAGTAATCAGCACCTTAGAGAACCATCTGTGGAGGTGGCCAACTTCTGCTTCTCAGGGTTTTGCTGACAGCTGGTTCATTCTTCTCTCTCCTGTGCTGGGGTCAGTATGACCCCCATGAATGGAAGCATTTGACAACCCTAAAGGACTTTCTGTTGTGATCTCAGCTAGGAGGAGCCCTTGAGTAAGGAGCTGCCTGCCACCTTTCTTGAGCTTAACAGCATGACCCATTGGTGACATCTCCAATCCTGACATCTCTGCAACTTGTCTGTTATCTGCCTCCTGCTCTGGCAAGCAGATGCTGAACTTGGGCTTCACTGTGATATCAGCCCACTCATGTGGCAGTGGCAGCTTGTAGTCAGAGGGAACGCTGAAAAGCCTACAAGGTATTAAAAAACAGCTTCCATGGCTCATGCCTTCTCAGCGAGAGACAATGGCTATATTGGGCCCTGGGTTACACCCAGATATGGCAGGAAAAAAAGCCAACGGACGTTTTTAGCTTTTGGGAAGGGGAAGAAAGATGGAATAAAATTAGGCTGGAGTGAGTTGCTTTTTAGTTCTCTAAATTTTCTGGATTCTGATTTAATAGATGTTTGCAAAGACTGTAAGGAAGATGAGGGGCTGGAGCAGCAAGAACTGTGAGCATGTAGATATTTGATTTATGAGCAAGAACAAAGGGTGGAACCCTGAACAGGAACAAGTACTGGATGTGGAAACCACTGCCACCCTCCACTCACCCTCCCCACTGTGTTGTCCCAGCCCAGGATCACCTACCAGGTCCTAAGGAAGAACATTTACTCTCCGTCTGCCTGGTATGTGCCTTTTGTCATCACTCTGGGCTGCATATTGCTTCTGGGTCTCCTGGTGTCCCTGGCGGTCCTGCTGGCCAAAGCCATCCACAGACACTGTGCCTGCAAGACTGAGAAGGACAAGCAACCTCTGTAAGTGGCCAGTGGGCTGGGCCCTTTCCCCTACTTCCCTTAGGGCACTGTTCTTGGGGATGTCAGGAGAAGGAAAGCTGGAGAATCAGGATTTCTCTGTGGGCTGGGTGCCTGGATGAGAGACTCCTGATTCTCTATGTCCTGCTGTGCCCTCTTTGTCACCTGTTGAGCCATGAAACCATTCCTTTGGTTTTTTTCTGGCAACCTACCCTGTCCTTGGTGAGGCACCCTTGTCGAAATTGGGGCATCAAATTTTTGTTGACCTTGCCTTGTGTAAAAGCTTTAGAAAAGCCCTCATTGTGAGCAGCAACAGAAATTTGCAGAATATTTAAAGGATGGGATGTAATTAAAGGAAGCTCCCTCCCCCCCCAAAAAAACTGATAAGGGGGCAGTGCCTGTGGCTCAAAGGAGTAGGGCACTGGCTCCATATGCCGGAGGTGGTGGGTTCAAACCCAGTCTTGGCCAAAAACAACAAAAAGACTGATAAGAGAATTAAGCATTTGGCCCCAGTGATTCAATTATGTTCTTGGTAACTATTAAATAATCATTGTTCTTTTGTATCTCTCACTCTCAAGGTCTGTAAAACAAGCCCTTTCCTCTTTTTTGCCTGCTTACTGCTTATTGTGACAATCTGCAGATGTTTTTATTGGGTAAAGTGAAGTTGTAAAGCAAAGTGAAAAGGGCATCAAATGGTTACAGACTTCTCCTAGAGCCGGTTCTTTTTGTTCTTATAACTAGAGCATTATGGTTCCGAGCCTGAATTTTGCAGTTAGACAAAGCCTGGGTTCAAATTTTGCACTCTACCATTTTCTGGGTATATGGCTTTGAACAAGTGACAACCTTTGCGAACTTCAATTTCTTCGTTTGTAAAAGTAAACAACTAACTGAGCGAATGCACTTAGCCCTGTTCTGATGCAGAGTGCGTGCTTACTACACCACAGCCATTGTTTTTCTTATCTCACGTTTTCATCATTCATCATGGCTGAGTCCCAGTGAGTTTAGGACTCTACATTCCAGCTTAGCTCTGTGCCCCAGTGTCTTAGGGGATGAACCTCTGAGTGTCAAGATTTCTCAATAGCAAAAAGAAGGGATGATGAGACTCATGTGCCTTTTAAAGGTACTTTGAAGATTAACTATTAACTGTCAAATACTTTAAAATCTCTATGGATGAAAGATTGTAAAAAAGTATAAGGCATTAGCATAAAGATGTGCATTGCGTTTTGCCATGTTTATTGAGGAAGTTTGTTGCTATGGGCAACCTTGACTTCCAGGTAAAAAATTCTTGAGCATGTGTTGAAATTTAAAAAGGCATTATTATTTGGAGTGTACTCACAAAACGATTAAAAAAAAAACAAAACAACAAAACCTAACTCTAAAGGGATGATGTTTAAGCTTGTAAGGATGGTGGTGCCCTGAAATGGGATTTGGGTAGAATTTCTTTAAGGAGGTATAACAATCTAATAGACACTAAAACTTCATGTAATTTATGGCTAAATGTTAAATATGCACCTTGAACCTGGCTGTTTTAACTTATGTTGTAAATACAGTTTTCAACATGTTGACTTAGGAAGAAAAACTAGCTAGAAATTTAGATTCATATCTGCCTCCCTGGAAATTAGCTGCACCATTTAACAGCCAACATTTGTCAAATAGTGAAGAATAAAATTAGAGTTTCAGAATTATAGGATCCAAGGTTATCATGGGGAAGGTCTTAGAGTCCAAGTCTAGCCCTTCATGTGTCAGGAAACCAAGTTTAACTGCCAGCACTCAAACCTCCCTGCAGTGAGCCAAGCCTTCTGCTCAGCCAGCTGCTGGGGAGAAAGATGAGACAGTCTTGACCTGGGTAGTCATGTCCTCACCAGGTGTCCTAATCAGAGACAGCATATTCCCTGAAGATCTATAAAGTGATAGCTTTTAAACTCATCACATTCCCAGAACGTCCCCTGTCCAAAACCAATAGTGATGGAGGCATGCAGTTTGAAGCAGAGTTGGTAGCCTACCCCCCTAGTCCAAAGGTGTACAGTGGCCCAAAGGACCCCATGTTGTCATGTGTGTACCAGGGTAGAGTACTTTCAGGTTAACTAATGTCCATTCTTTTTGTTCCTCCCACAGGGTAAAGAAAGGAGGTAGGTGCAATGCCTATTTGTTTGTTTGTTGCCTTCTGCTTGCTGTGTTGTACAATGTAAAAAGCCTCCAGCTCAGCAGAGGATCAGCACGATCATGTCTTGGCACGATTTCGGCCTCGTCATGTGTGGGTGGAATGAAGCAGAGGTTGGCTGTCACTGGAGAGGGGGAGGGAGGGTGCAAGGTGCCTTTGGCCCACTTGGATCTCTCACTTTGGTCCTGCCTGTGCCCTGCCCAGGGCCATGTCCAGTCAGCTCAGCTGAAGCACCTGGGTCTATTCCCGCTGAGTGAGACAGAAATAAAGCCCCCTCCACGTGGTGAGCACAGGCAGCAGCTACTCGCTGCTGCACGTGGAGGGGTGTCCTGAGGACAGCTAATGCTCTATTTCCGATGCACGCCTCTTTTGAAAGAACAAGTGATCCTTAATTCTCTGATTCTAATGGATTTGGTCATCTTCATGAATTGTTTAGGTCAGGCTACTTAGAGACGGGAGTTAGGGGCAGTTAGATGAGTTGGGAGAACTGAATGATTTCCGGCAGATTGGTAAATTGAGGAAGGTCCACCTGAATAGCTCCAGGTCCTATCCTGCCCTGGCAGGTTAGTTGTTACCTCAAGCAGACCCCAGACTATGGAGAGAGACTGAACAAAGCATTGGAAAGTACAGTAGACTCTCCATAGTCGACCTCCTCCCTACATTGATCACCTTCTTCAGTTGACCTAATTTGCATGGACCCCACATGCACCACATGTATATATTTCACAGAAGGCCTAGTTCCTTATGGTGACCACCTCTATATGTTGACCAGCTTGTCACGCTCCCTGGGTGGCCAGCTTACAGAGGTTCCTTTGTATCTTTTTAAAAGAATGCTTGTTTTAATCACTCTGTTCACAGGCATGTGTGTCTGGCACGCACAAGACATAGCTAAACAGGGTTATAAACTTGATTATAGTGGTTATTGATCATATTGAGTGAGATGATTTTAACAAATAACATTTTCACAAATCCAAGTGAAAATTGGGATTTCTTCCAATCCCAGTTACTTTTCAAAAAGGTCATGAGGAGGGAATGCAAAAACTCCCCACGTTGTGAACAAATATTTCAACCTAATCTTTCTTACCCGTAGGCCATTTAAAAGCTAATTTCTTAGTAATAACACTAAGCTAGACAAAGAGTAAAAACATTTTAATTGTGTGTATAATATATGCATGTGTGTATATATTTTTTCTGAGAAGATGAAAGCTGTCAACAAACATGTCTACCAGATAGAAAACTTCTTTGCTGTGTCTGCAAGACTGAGTTCCAAGCCCATTTAGGGGAAATCCCATTGTGGGGGTGGAATTTTAAGGTCAATTTAACGCCCAAGAAGCTTACCTTCTGCCTGTTCTGTTCCCTGCAGAAATGAAGAATGCAGAGGGAGAGGCTGTGGTGGTGAGTCTGGGGCCCCTGGCTAGGGTGCTGCTGGTGGGGGCCTTGTCCCCCGCCCCCCGCAGGCCCACCACAGCCTCGGGGATGTGTTATCATTCAGAGAGGTGCTTGCATTTGGCCAGTGGAACAGATTGCTGTGTGACGAGCTCCTGATAGAATTTGTTCCCTCCACTGAACATGTCTGCTGATATATTTGCAGAAGAACTGGATTTCATAAATATTGAGTAGTGGTGTTTATTATCTAGACCAGCTCTCCGGGAGAGCGAATTGGGGGAGTGAAGCTTAAAGACCAGAACTGGCACTTCAGCCTTCAATGAGATTTAATTTTTCTTTGCTCTTCTTGCACAACCTTGCAGAAAAGTGATAGAGAAAGCGTGGCTTGGGTCTGGGGTTGGCTTTGCCTACTTAGTCATATGACCTGGGGCCTCCCTCAGCCTCTTGGAGCCTTACATTCCTCACCTGGAAAATGGGAGTGAGGATGTCTGCCCTGAGATAACAGGTGGAGAAATGCTTTGAAAATTGCTAAACGTCACATGAATGCAAAGTGTTACAGGATAGCTGGAGTTACCCCTTCATCTCATACACTGAACCTGATGTACCCCCTGGGAAGTGATGGAATTTGAAGATGACTGCCTCAGCTCTTCCCCACCTCCTGACAATAAGGTTTTGTCATAATCCAAGACTCCAAAATGCGAATGAGGGGCCAGTGCCTCCTCCAGTGAGGGTGTCGACACAGTGAGCTGGAATTTCAGACCTATGTGTTGCCTGGTGCCTGTATGTTCTGGTCAGTCTACAAGCAGGAGAAAGAGGCAATCTCTGGTCTCCTGGGTGTTATTGTCTCTAAAGCAAGTACCCTGTGGGATCCCACTCAGAGACTGTCTTAGAACTGGGTAATAGTAAATTAATCTGTTAGATAAATCAATTCTCAGGACCACAAAAAACTGGGGCTGCTTATCCAGGGAGCTGTAGGGAACTGAGGAGGTGATCATTTATGTGATGGAATTGATAACAGTGAGGATTGAAAGGCTTGGCAAGCTCTAAGCACCATCCTCCTTAGTGTGCTAAAGACTGACATGGCACCTGTAGAAGGCAATGCATGAGGGAAGGGTGTGTTTCCATGGAGACAAAGGACAGGTGCATCAGACAGAGGTTAGGGCTTGGAGAGTGGCACAGAGAATAGATGAGGGGAGGGAAGGGATGGAGCTCAGGGCTTAGGTGAGGCCTAGATGTGCTGCTGCATTGGACTAAGCTAGGGGAGGCAGCAGGAGAGGGCAGGAGTGCCAGGGCTGGGGGTATAGGCACCCGGGGGCTCCCCTGTGTCCATCTTGCAAGTCTACCAGACACTGATCCCACTGGGACAACATAGGTCTTGGCCTGTGTTGTGCGGCATTTCTACTCTTCCTTCTATGCAGCTTAGATTTCACTTACTCAGGATAGTTTCTTAACTCCCAGGTGTGGATTAAATGTCTCCCTGTCCCTACCTGTGCCCCATAACTTCCTACATCTCTCCATTCATAGCCTTATCACTCTGCATCCTAGGACCTGTTAGCCAATGGCAAGCCTTGTGTGGCAGTAACCACACCCGCCATGTTCACCACTGTGTCCCTGGCACCTAGCACAGTGCCAGTTAAAGACATTAATGTCCAAGAGGCTTGAGGCAAAGAACTTGGGCTGTGAGGATGAGCAACCTTGCATGCTGGCGGGGAGTGTAGGGCTGTGCATGAAGCTGTCTCTTTCTCTTCTTAGGAAACTATCCAGATGAACACTGTTTTTGATGGAGAAGCCATAGATCCAGGTAATTAAAGATGATGCCACCCATAGCATGCTGTTCACACTCCCGACTGGAAGAGTCATGGAAAACCTTATCCAGTTTCCTGCTCTTAACTCAGTTTGTCAATCCATTTGGCTTCGTTGCCCTCACAGTGCTGACCCTTCTAGATTAAAATACCACATGAGTCCAGCTCTGAACCCAGCTGGCTCACACACGCTCAGACACACAGCAGCACCACACGTGGGAGGCCTCAGCGGGCCTCCACCTAGAGGGCTCACGCTCTAGGCCCACGCTGCTTTCTCACCTCCCTTTCCAAATCACGAACCAATTTAGGGAACTGGTGAGTTCAAGAACCTATGTTTTTTCCCTTTCTCACTGGTACTTTCCCCTGTCCCTCCTGTCCCCATCCCCATCCTTTCTGAATGCTTCTAATGCCATCTTATTAGTTGTGGAAGATACAGAGAAATGGAAAGTTTTGTTTCTTTTTTTTTCTGAGATCAGGGCCAAGATTTTCTTGGTTGGCAAGATGAACATAAGGTGAAGCTGGCCTCCCGAGCTCTCATCACCCCCATGAAATCAGCTCCAAATTTAGCTCCTTTACACATATCCCTCTACTTACAAAGGCTCAATTATAGACGTGAATAAAGGGAAGGAAACCAAATTCAGGAGGCAAGTGTGTTGGCTCCCTGCCACCCTCATATGCAAAGCGCACCGGTCCTCCTCGGAAGGAGGATGGCTCCTCTCCAGTGAGAGGCTGCTGCTGCTGGAATTAAATTTCCCTCTATTATTAGGTACTTGTTACCATAATGTGCCCACATTAGCATAAGTGCTGGTGGGATTCTGAGCTGAGAGGCCACTCAGGCTGTATGGAAGTGGCAGGAGCAGGGGACTGCCTTAAACTCAAGCTTCCAGGGGAAAAGCCAGGGAGGACCTTTGCGTTTTTTGTGTAGTTGAGAGGAAAGAGGAGAAAGCGATGTGCCAACTGGCCTCTGTGAACAAACACATCAATTAGCGTCTGCTGGCTCTGACACAATGAAAATGGCTCCCTTGGATCATCTCGAGTGGGGCCAGATTTGTGTGTCTGTGTCTACAAATCTCTGTTAACATGCATAAAAATCACAGTCTTTTCCTCCTTACTTCGTGCATTTCTTTTTATAGCAGGGATCCAGGGGTCTTTGTAAATAAACACAATAAATCAGAAAGTAACAAGTAATGCCATTAAAAATAGAATCTAATTTATCAGAAGCTCACTTGGAGTTCGAAATTTATAATGGCCTTCTCATCCTGCAACCGAGATGGCTTCAAGACTCTCCTAACCATTTCTATCCCAAGTGGCCTGACATTTGCTACCTGTGTGACCGGAGCCGTCTGGCCCGTGGGTAGGGCAGGCCGTGAAGACCGTCTATGCTGCTCACAGGCCTGCCTTCCATCTAAATGAGTCACGCCTTCTAGCTTGCTTCTTCTTTCCCTGGGAGTCAGAACAGAGCAAGTGGAGGTGGGGGATGGGGGATCATTCCAGTTCCCCTGGTTTATGTAATTATTGTACTTTTTCTCTTCTAGTGACTGGAGAAATATATGAATTCAACTCAAAAACTGGAGCCAGAAGGTGGAAAGATCCACTAACCCAAATGCCCAAATGTAAAGAGTCCAGCCCCCAGGGAGCCGACCCACACAGAGTCACTGCTGGGGAAGGAATGGGAATGCTGAGCTGTGCCAACCAGGAGGAGGACCAGCCGGGTGGCAAAGCAAAGGATGCTGGCCTGGGTTCCAGGAAGGAGGGTGGCAAGGCCTACACCGCAAAGAACAGAAAGCCGGCCCTTACACGCAAGGCTTCCCCCAAGCTGCACCCGGGAAAGTAAAAGGTGTCCGGGGGGGCAGGCCCACGTGCAGCTCAGGGGAGACGCCTGGTCGTCCCCATGATGCTGCCTCACCCTAAATTCTATGGGTGTGAAAATGTGGGCTGAAGGAATTCAGGCATCCAGGGTCACAAATGGGATGTGTGACAAAATTTTAACAAATAGAAAAGGGTTTGCTCATATAGTTGCCTTTTTCTGAGATGGCCAGGAGAATCTCTCTAGGGTCTCAGAGTGACCAGTGCTTCTGATCGGTGGGATTGTTAACTTTTGGATGCTGAATTGTGTTTCTTTTTTACCTCCGCTGCTAGGAAACTCTCTCTATAACCTATGAAACACACAGGAATTCCTGACAGAAATATTGAGGACCACCCAGATATCTCATTTTCCAGCTTTTATTTTAGCATGACCCAGATTTCCACTCAACACCACACCTTTGTGACTTACCTCGAATATTTTTCAAGAGAAGCAGAACAGGGAAAGAATGAATGAGTAAATAATGAGACGTGCATCTGGGAAGAAGGAAACATAGACATCTTTTATTCTTTTTAAAAATTACCGTATGATTTCCCACCAATGCAGCGCACAGACCTAAGGCGTTCAACCTGATGCTACGTAGGCTGCTCCTGGAGGCAACCACTATTCTAGAGCTTAGTTTTACCTTTTAAAAATTTGACATAAATGGAAGCACCCAGAACCTGCCTGTTTGTGCCTGACTTCTTTTCTCGGCATTACGTCTGTGAGATTCGTCCATGTTGCACAAGATGGCAGGGGTCCAGTTTTCTTCAGGTTGTGTCTGATTTCATGGCATTTATCCCCTCTGCACTTGGGTGGCTGCTTCAAGAGTTTTACTGTTTCACTACAGCATGGTCAACTGTCTTGTATGTCTTTTGACAAACACATTCACTCACTCAGTGCTTCTGAGACTGTAGTTGGGAGTGGGATTCTTGGAGCAATTGCTAGATGCTGCCAAAGAGCTCCAAAGTGGTGGCTCTAATTCACACTCAGCAGCAAACACCGAGAGTTCCAATTGCTCTACAACCTCGCCAACACTTGGACTTGTCAGTCCTTTTGATTTTAGCCATTCTGGTTAAAATTACTCTTGAAGTGAAATCACTCTTTTTCTCAAAACTGAAACAACACCTTGCAACCTACTTGTCCTGCTCCTTCCTACTTCCTGTAATTGGAGGGAACCCCAGGACTCTGTCCAAACATACAACTCAGACTTTTACCTGTAGGCATGAGCAATGAACTGGGAATAAACGGTACTACGATTCGGTGTATAATAGGAAATGGAACTTTCCAGAGAGTGCCTAGTAGAGACTGAGCAAGCCTCACGTTAGGTCTGTGTCCTGCTCCCCAGCTGCTGTGACCCCAGTTTAGTAATCACAAGAAAGGACAGGTGATGGTCCATTAGAGCAGCACCCCCTCCTCAGTGGGGCGGTCAGCTGAGAGCCCACCAGGCCCACAGGGTCTGCAGGAGACAGGATCCAACCAGCAAATGAAGAACTTGGGAGAGAGCAATTGCTTTGTTTGCTGTATGCTTGTGCGCCAGTGTGACTTCTCAAGCAAAAGGAACATTTGTAAAATGTCCTGTCCTGGCCTAGATTGGGCGTGATTTATTAATAAGGGTTGGTTGCCAGGGAACTCCCTTGAACGGGTTTAAATTTTGCAAAAGAAGGCAGAGCTGTTCAATCATGTAGGTTAAAGTGGGTGAAGTGGCTGATTACCCATTTAAGACTTTGCAAGTCTGTGGGGCCCCGAGTAAAATGCCTTCCTCAGAAGCTCTCAGCTTCAATGCAAGTAAAATGAGGCTCTGAGAAGGCTGAAGGGGGACTTAATAACTGTTTATAAGCCCATTAAGGATGATTAAAAGGAGGCCAGTGAGCAGCTGCTCTTCCTTCACCAGTGATGACAGGGCAAGAGGGGATTGTGCTTAACTGCCAGAAGAAGAGATTTAAGTTAGGCAGAGGGAAGGACTTCCTGGAGGCTGGGGTCTGTTTGAAGGGCTCAGAGTCTTACTTGGGGACAGCAGGAAGAGCTGATAGACTTCTGTGTCCAAGGCGAGCCCTGAGGAATCCCAGGAGTGGGAGCAAGAGGCACCAGGAGAGAGAATCCTCACCCACCCCGACTTGGTTTTTAATCTTTACCAGGGTTGGGGAAAAAATTTATCCAAGTAAAATAAAGCCGGCAGCTACTGCGGATCTGGTGAATGTTTTCTCACATTTCCCTCCCAAGTCCTTAAAGTTAAGTTGACTATTGTAACCAATGTTTGCTTTCTTCATTCTCATTCATTATAAAAGTGGGGGAAACATATTCAGGAATCAGACCACATGGTGATCCATAATTGTTGAAGGCTCTGAAGCTGTGTGGTAAGTTGTGACACTGGAAAGAACTTTGCTTTCGTTGCTGTAGAAAGCAGGACGAGCAACTCAGCTGTGTGGAAAGCAGGAGTGGTTCTCCACCAGAAACTGGGAAATGCCACTCCTGCTCCTTGGAGCCCTGTCTCACTTCTGTGGTTCTGTATTTGCCTTTTTACTTAATGTGTTTTGTAATGGCTGCGAAAATGAGTGAATACTGACAACGATCTACTGAAACCTGCAGTTTCTCATTTCAAACTTAGTACATGTATTTGTGCCTCCTATTCATTCAATAAATGTTTAAGGAGCAACTACTGGGTGCCAAGTGCTGATTCATTAGTAAACACGACGGCCCCCAATCCCTGCCCTTGCAGGGCTTACATTCTATGTCTCTGGCTGAATATAGCCTGCTGATAAGCTATTTCAAAGGTTTCTATTTCCAGTTGCATCCCAGCCTATTTGTTTCTTGGTTCATTCAGTATTCTGTCCAAAAGATAAATTAACCTAAGCCTGTAATCTCTTTCCAGAAGAACAGATAATTCAGAAGCATTAAATTAAAAAAAAACAAAACAAAAAAACAACTTGGCTCGGTGCCTGTGGCT